AGCAGGTGTGGTGCCATGGAATCCCATTGTTTCGTGGAGTTTCTATGTGTTTCTGAGGCCTGTTTGGATATGGCCTTGTCTCTGCTCCTCTAATGTGACTGCACAGTACTGTGCCTGTGGCCACGTGTATGGCAGCAGATTACCTCTAGCTCCAGATGGCAGCTCAGTCTACGTGGTTGCTGGATAGCCCACATCCCATCACTCAGCCTCTCCAGGAGTCCAATAGTATCACAGGTATTCCTTCAAAGGATTACCATGGAAGGAAGCATCATTTTGTTCCTAACAAACAAAGATCGACACATAACTCTCTACTCCACTCAGCGCCCTAGAGGCTTAATTCAGCCTTTACAGCAACAATAAGTGGTCTTTATAAATTGTACAGGACAAGAAAGCATTTGCCAGATCAAGAGTGCTAAAGATGAGAGCCCAGAGGACATTGATTTACAGTCATTGAGATGTATCTGGGAGCTTCAGTGGCATGATCAATTAGCACGTGGTACTTACATGACAGTGAAGGCAGAGTCGTATCTATGTAAACTGATGTTAAGTTTACAAAAATCTATTGTTCTCTTCCAAAACCCATCTTTCTTCTGCACATGACAAATGGGTGACATTTCTGCAGATGTGACAGGAATTTCCATCCTTGGAATGTCTCAGTTTTAGGTGATTATAATAATCTCTAATATCTCCCTCAAGATTGTAAAATAGTTATGACTTTTGTAGAAAAGGAACAGTTCTAAAGGCCTTCTCTTGGTCCCTCCCACCACAATATCCCTCTCCTCAAGGGCTATAAGTAGGGTTCTGCCAGTTGCCAAATAAGTTTTTGGAAGTTGGGAAAACAACCATAAGGCACTCGGTGCTCTGGAAGATAGCCTCGCTCATGCACAATCTATTACTGATGACTTTCGTCCAAATAGAGCTAGTAGATCCTAAAGTGTGGGGTTCTCTAAGGAGTAAACATTTTAGAACCAATGTCCAGAGACCTAAGAGTGATCTGATATTTTCCTTTTGCCATGACAGAACAATTCTGATAAATGAATATGTTTCCTTTGAGGGAAATCTAGGAGAAGATTTTGCAGTACATTCTAGTTGCATTCTCATGGAACCTTCCTTAAGAGGCTATGGTCTCTTTGCTTTTAGAAGACCCCATGGTCTGACCCACTATAAAGAACCGATGAGATTCAAACTCCACTAAGGCTACTTAAGTGAGACATCTGTGCATTAGACTTTTTTTTAAAAAAAATGTGAATCAATTACTACTATAATTTTGGTAGAAGAGAACTGTGATTGAAGAAATGTCCCTGAAAAAGATAAAACAGAGATCACAGCTTTGGCCCCTTATCCAGTACAATAACCTTAGCCACCTTATCTCTGGTGGCCGAGTGCTGTCACCTGGTCTCTGAGGCTCCTACTAGCACATCCAAATAGTATGATATTGCAAAAATTATCCCTGATCCACAGAAAGACGTCACTGATGTCTTCATGGACACTAATGTATTTCTCAACGCTTCTTGTAAGGAGTGGAGTGGATAACCAATTCACTTCTGACTGAAACACATTAACATCTTTGCCTTCTGAATTATTTTAGTTTTGCTTGTAAATCAATTTAATTTAATAAAGGCTACTATTGGGTCCTGTTTTTTAGTTAGCCAGTCAAGCAAACAATTCTAGAGAATTGTCTCAGACATTCAAACAGAATGTTGAATCTAATCTATGGCAGCTGCATCCACATTGACATAGTTGGCCATATCTATATTCTGCATCTTCTTGTTGAACCTAAAACCATCACGTTGCATCCCACAAATGCTTCCCAGGGTTCTAACAATAATACAAATCTTGCAGTTCTTCAGTGTATACACTGTAGCCTCCTAGATGAAATCTTGTACCCCAGGGTCTACTGATCTCTAGTGTCAGCTATGGGACTAAGAGCAATGAGAAACGGTAAGGACATATGACTATAACTGTGTCAGGGTCTTAAGCAAGAGGAGGCTGATTTTTAAAAAGGGGAAGAAGAAAGCTTAGTGGGACTTAGAAGTTTGTGATTCTCAGAATGATTGGAATCCACCCAAATGTCCTCATTCCAAATTTTGCTCTTTCCCAATCAATGCCCTATCTTTTACATAAGAGACCTGGCAAGTCTGTGAATTCCATTTGGGTTATAATTATCCAACCTACAGGATGGAAAAAATTATACATTAGCCATATGGCTACAAGAGACATTTTTAGGGCAGTCCTGGAAGTCTACCCATCACTGAAACTTGAGCCGAGATTTTGAAATCGTAACCTTTTGCTTGGAGGCAGGTGGCCCACTCTGTAGTCCTTGCAGTCCTGCTCATTTCGTCTCTAAATCTTATTGTAATACTTAAAAGTCTCGTAAAGGCTATCTATAATTAACCCTTCACTCCAGAAAGCTACAGGTAATTAGCTACAGGGCTCTAATATACAGGTATCCCATTTTTTCACTGGTTTTAACTGCTGCTCAGTCTAAGTCAGTTAACCGAACCCCAGATGTGTATCTTGGGGTTGCTATCAATTCGAACTACTTCTGAAAACAGACTATGACAGAGTCAGAGTTCTACCAGGAAAGGGCTTGCCTTTCTAGGGTGAGTCAGGAAAGGCTGATTAAATATAAAGAGAATTAAGCTCGAAAGACTACTGGGAGGACCTGGGTAGCCCAGAATCAAGGAAGAAATGTTACCAGCTCTGAGTAAATCTGGAAGTCCAGGAACTACAGTAAGTTACTAGTAAGGACTTAAAGAAGCAAAATAAGCAATTCACAAGAGCTCTCCCACAAAGAACATAAAACTTCATGTTTCCAATAAAGCCAGGCAACTACCCACTACAGCTGAGGAAGAGAAATGGCCTATCCTATTTTGTTGCCTTCCAAATATCATGCAAGGTTCCTTGTTCTAGCAGAATCTAAATGAGGCCACATGGTGATTTAAACAATGTATTCTGTGGGCCTCCAGACACTAGCATATAAGGGGAGGTTTGGATGGGTAGAAACTGTATAGGATATTGACAGGCAATACTTGCCACAGTATATAACAATCAGATTCCCAAAGGTATTTTAAAATCTGGTGACCAAAATAATCTACGAATAAGCATTCAACTTTTATTTTAATCTTACCTTTCCAATAAGCCAAGGTTTGTAGTGTTCTCATAATTTTCTTTTTTCTTCTCTTATCTGAATCAATTGTATCTTGAGATTTTACGAGGAGAATAAATAGGTAAACAATAAATACAGAAGGATCAAGACGTCTTGAGCAGGGACTAGGAAGAGAGGTTTAAGAGGCTGGCAAGAAAGGTACATGAGTCCTGTGCTTAAGCAAGAGACATCTGGATGAAGGAAGAACAGGACTTTCAGAACTGTGCTCTCAGCAATGTGTTTACGACAGTTCTGAAGAAAAACAGAGACTCTTAGACACTTTGCACTCTGGTTGCTGCATTTGTTTATAGATTTCTTAGACAGAGGTTCTCCAAGTACAGTCCGCACATTCCTGGGAGTTCCTGAGGGACCTACTACAGCTGTTCTGAGAAGCCCGGATTATATTTAAACCACATGAGGACACTGTTTGTCATTTTCACAGCCATTATCTTCTGACTGGTGCACAAGATCAGGGGTTGGGTGGGGTGGGGGTGTAACCCTGCTGGCTGTGGGATAAGAACCAGAGCACCAGCAGCAAGTTAAGCCCGTGTATTCTCCACTGCACACATGAAAACAAGGCGGCTTTCACTTAATGGCATCCTTAATGACAGAGCAAACATACTCTGTTCCGTTTTAGTCCTTGAGGACACAGCATCTCAATAATCTATGTAGCAAAATGTCACTTCTGCATGCTACAGTGTGGCTCTGTCTCCACAACTGAATTTTGAACTGGCCTGACCTACATTTTTCACAGAACACCATTTCCACTGGCAAGAACAATTACCAACAAACTGTTTTAATTCTGACTTGGGCATTTGGTACCAATGTCTCCAAATTAACAAAATGTAGCTAAGCGCTTGAAGGAAAAGTATCTGAACTACATGTCACCAATAATAAAATCTACACTATCAAGTAAAAATGAATATTTATATCCCTCACAGAGCCCAGGCCTTACACTGCTCCCTGGCCTGTAGATCCTGATACCACACATGAGCCAGGAAGTTTATGTCCACAATCTGGATTCCACCCAGTGGAAAACGGAAAGAGAGAATCTAGGCTGAGACCACTTTATTTAAGGGATGTCACTCTGCTCATGATCTCTAGAAATAGTCATATGACCACCTACCTAGAAGGTAGGCTGAGAAATATTTTCAAAGTGGAAAATTATGTGCTTGGATAGATATCCATCATTATCAAAAGAGGGACACATGGAAAAGCCAACTATCCATTCTTATGCAGCTAGAATACCTATCCACGTGTGTTCAGTGACTAGGATAGTGGCCTGCTAATTCATAGATGCTCAGGGCCTAGCATCCATCTGTGTGAGGAATGCTATCAACAAGTATCTACTTGTGGAATGAATGAAAAGGTTACAGAAGGCCATCTGAGGGCATTCAGTCAACCAGTCTTTTACAGAGAGGAGAAAGTTTGGCACAAATACGTATTTTTGTTTCATTTCTTTTATTCTGTCTCAATATCTCAGAATTTTACCATTAAGGTCTATTTTTTAAAAAAATGATAGAAATGAATAATTCATTATTATAATGTGCAATTATAATCTTACGATAAATTCACTAATCTGTTATCTCTTGTCCCACTCTTCCTTTTCAAGTGAATCTATTTGGAGAAGTGGGAATTTCTCTCCTTTTTTTAAGATTAATTTTATTTTTAACTCTGTGTGTGTGTGTGTGTTGTTGTTGTTGTTGTTGTGCATGGGGATATGCATGTGTGTTTTTGAGTACCCCATAGAGACCAGAAGAGGGAGTTGAATCCCCTGGGGTTGGATTACAAGCATTTGTGAGCAATGGGACAGGAGTGCCGGAAGCTGAGCACCGGAAGCTGGGCACCGGAAGCTGATCATGGCTTCGATAGATGTACTCTTAACCCCCGCTCCCCAGCCGTGTCTTTAGCCATGGGAATGCCGTGGTGGAGTACTCAGGAGGAGACAAAGCAAAGAAGCCAGAGCCCTACTTATAACCCCAGAGCAAGTTTTTCCAGGAACTAGATAGGTACAAAGTGTGAGTTCAGTAGGCAAGAGGAGAGTGCCATTCAGAGCCGGGCACAGCCCTGGGAGGGTAAGGCTTGTTGAAAACAAGTGGACACCGGGCAGCTCCGAGGGATGAGAAAGCAACAAAGGATCCTCAGGCGAGCTGGTATCAAAACAGCTATTTCCCATGTTTCCCAGGGTGGGGCCCGCGTCACATGCTTTCCCGTGTCCCCATTCAGAGACAAATAAGTTGTACAGAATCTCCCAGGGCTTCGGGGTCTGTAAAAGTTCAGTGTAATTTCCTGGCTTTGTAGTTGTTTAATCAAGGTAAGCAAGAGGTTATGGACTCAACCACTTTGTGATTAAGATTAACGTGCTTGGAATGTTAACTCTTGCCTTCACGGGCAACTGAGGATGCAACATTGAGCATTAAAAACCCTCTAAATTAAATCTGCCTGCTTGATGACCCCGGGACAAACAAACGTGGCTCCTTCAGTCCACTGCTCTTGTTAATCCACTCCCAAGGACTGAACATCCCTGGTTGGCACTGGTGTCTCTGTCTCTAAAGGATGAGAAAGCATCACTAACTTTAGTAGGCTCTAGTGACAGAATTCATAAATATGGTTTTTTGTTGTTGTATGCATACGTATATGATTTGTGTGTGTGGATACGATATATGTGTGTATCAGTGCAAGCACAGTGTGGAGGTCAGTGGACAACTTTGGGGAGGTGGTTCTCTCCTCAGTGGGCTCTGGGGATTGAACTTGGGTCATCAGGCTTTGAAGCAAGTGCTTTCATCTGCTAAGCCTTCTAGCTGGCCCAACATGGGTTTTAATCAGAATGTCTTTCAGAAAGATTTGTCTTTGACTAGAATGAACAGTTTGGATACACTGCTTTGAGGCCGAGATAAGCCAGGCAGGGTACTTTGATGTGACAAGTAGCTGCCCTGGGAAGTTGTCATTTGGACTTTGCTTGAACAGACAATAAGATTCCAGGGTCACTGCCTGGAAATGACCAGAGACTGGCACAGGGAACCAAGGGACAAGTGGAAGAAGAGACATAGCAAAGTGATAGAGTGGTCAGAGCTTACTAGCTGGGACCCCAGGAGAGCCTTCAAGACACCCAGTGGAGGAGATGTCAGCTTGAACATGCACCATGCACTGAGGGCTGATGCTTTCTCACAACAGTTTCATCAAAACCAGACAGGCTGCCCCGATGTCCATTTTCTGTCCAACCACTGCCAGGGTGAAAGGGGACACCTGGGTAAGAGGAACAGCATGCTCTGAAAGAAGTCCATATCGGAGAGTAGAAGCCAGTCACAGACCCTTTCCCTCTTCCAGACCTTCAATGAGAAGGAGCAAATGTGGAAGACGACATAAGTATGTGGGTAACAGCTGTTTGCAGTTTTGTCTGTTACACTGAAATGAACATTTTAATGCTAATGTTAAGGTTGAGCTAGAAGTTGGACTTTTAAAACCTGACAAACTAGTGAATACAAAAGTCAGGACTTCATCCCTTGGCAGAGAGAGAGAGAGAGAGAGAGAGAGAGAGAGAGAGAGAGAGAGAGAGAGAGAGAGAACTAGCCCGTGGAGAGCATGTAAAGAACACTAAGGTAAAGAATAGCACTGTTTCCTCTTTGTATTCTATTGGGTTCCACCTTACAAACATCAGAACTGTATCAAAGGATGCCTACCTAGCCCGGGAGAAGCTGCCCCTTCAGTGAAATGTGTTTTCTTTGCTGAGCAGACTATGCAAGTTTGCTCTGGGCAGAGCTGCTCAGGGAAATGCAGAAAGGGCTGAGGCCATCCTCAGCTTCTCCTCTGCAGCCCTCTCTGTCTCATCTTTAAATGAATATTGAGATAGCATGGAGCAAATACGGGATGGAGGAGTGACAAAGTATCAATTATATAATTTGGTCCAGCCCTGATCCAACATTTTTATTTCCTGGCTAGGTTAAGAAAGCAATTTTAGGAAATTCTAAATTGAATAGATTTGGAATAAGAAGGCGTGAAGCACTTCCTTTCCCAAACCTGGCTGCTCCTTAACTTGGGCCTTTAGAAACCTGCCAGGGGATAAACGGGTATACATCTTATGTAATAATTATCAGAAATAATTTATCACTTTCTGAGTGAGCCATGGCTCCAATATTGCAGTGGATCATAGTTTATAATTATGATAAGTTTTAATGTTCAGAAGCAATGGAACTATAGCTCTACCTATATCTATACTTAGATCTATACCTATACTTATATCTATACTTATATCTATATCTATGTATGTAGGTTTCATATGAAGACATGTTTGTCATATTTTCAAAGCTTTAAAAAAAAGCAGAACAATTTGCTATAATCAGGCCTCATTCAGTGGTTCTTAGCTTTGGAAAAAAGTTATTCAAAGTAAACATCTTTGGGTGATTCATGGCTAGAAAAGAGCTAGAGCATCGGGCTGCTAAAAATAGTGTGGAAGAATTTCAAAGACCTTGTCATTCTCTTGACAGCCAATGATAACGTCTTTGTATTCATTCTGTATAAGAAATATAGATGTTCAAAGATTGTTTTCTCAATTCCAGGGTTAATACAGCTCTGATGAAACAGAAGCTGAATGTTGGAGCCCAAATTTCATACAATGGTCTGTCCAATAAATGCCCCTAGACTGGGAATTTTCTTTAATTTTTATGATACAGCACATGGAGTTTGAGAAATCATGAGGAGAATTCACAAGTATCCAAATGAATGAGATTTAAAGCATTGTGCTATAATTTATTCTTAACAGGATAGTCTAATGGTGATAAACAAGGGAAATGGTTAAGATTTCTAAGGCTTCAAGGGTTGTCTCTTAGCATATGAAGCCTTTCAAAATGTAAAGATGTCTGCTTAGTTGCCAGGCACAGAGCACTCAAGCCTCAACAACCTGTTTTAGCGTTTTCCTCTGCACATTTATAAGCAGATAATCCACAGGATAGATAACTAATTTGTGTCGTACCCCATGTGCTGCATGAGGAAAAATTAGTGCATGCCATATGTTCACATGGATACCAATACAAATGCTGTTTGCAGAATCTGGACACCTGGAGAGTCTGGCCCATGTCCTGAACTACTGGAGTGGCTTTGAATTTCCTCCAACCTGGGGCCAGTGACGAGGGTTGGGAGAGTTATTAGAACATGTCCTTGATTTTTTTAGTGTTTTAATTAATTCTTTGATAATTTCATGCAATGTAGTTTAATTAGATTCACAACTCTCCTCGTACCTCCTCACAGATACATACCCACCTCTCTGCCACTCCTAACTTTGTGTCTTGAAAAGAAAAAAAAAATTCAAGCTGGGCAGTGGTGGCTCACACCTTTAATCCCAGCACTTGGGAGGCAGAGGCCAGCCTGGATCTCTGTGAGTTTGAGGCCAGCCTGGTCTACAGAGTGAGTTCCAGGACAGCCAGGGCTACACGGAGAAACTCTATCTCAAAAAATTAAAAAAAGAGAAAGAAAGAAAGAAAGAAAGAAAGAAAGAAAGAAAGAAAGGAAGGAAGGAAGGAAGGAAGGAAGGAAGGAAGGAAGGAAGGAAGGAA